GGAAGGGGGGAGGGGGAGATGATTAGAGGGCTTGATGAGCTTGATCTCTCCACGGATGCATAAAGAAGAGATCATGCAAGCCACTGAGGAAGGCCATCTTCTTTAATACAGGGAATAGCCCTCATCAGAAACTGGATATGTGGCATGCTAATCTCAAACTTTCTAGCCTTCACAACTCTGAGAAAGCAAATTCTCTTAAGACACTAGTCTATGGTATTGTGTTAAGCCAGCTCAGGCTAATGTAGAAAACTACATCTACTCTTCTTCAGATAAAAGGAAGGAAGGAAGGGAGGGGAGGGAAGGAAGGAAGGAGAGAGGGAGGGAAGGAAGGAAGGAGAGAGGGAGGGGAAAGAAGTCAGCAAGCTATAGCTATTCGTACTAAAATATTTATTTCCCATCTTGAAGTTTTAAGTTTTCTAATATAATTATAGCTAGTGTCAAATGTAAACAAGCCTATAAGTAACCCTTTGCTCTGCCCCAAATCCATGCTCCCTCTCTTCTTCAGTAAAAGAACTATAAATTTGAACTAAGGTTATGGTCATCCAGAGCCACAACTACACTGCCCAGTTTCCTTTGCATCTGTTATCACGTGACTTGTAGCCAATGGATATGTGTCCTTTTTTTAAATCCTCCCTTCTAGCTATTTGCTGTGCACATTGGGTAGAAGCATCTACTGAGGGTGGTAGAGCAATGCAGACCAAGCTGGGTACCAGCCTGGACTACCCGTGCTTAAGTGGGAGAGAAAAGCTGCTATCTCATCTGCCATTATCCTAATTCTAATTGCCCTACCATCCCTTCGAATCCTTTACATAATAGATGAAATTAATAACCCTGCTCTTACAGTTAAAACTATAGGACACTAGTGATATTGGAGCTATGAGTATACAGACTACGAAGACCTAAACTTCAACTCATACATGATCCCAACATCCGAACTAAAACCTGGGGAGCTTCGACTCCTAGAAGTCGACAATCACGTAGTCTTACCAGTAGAGCTACCAATTCGAATATTAATCTCTTCAGAAGACGTGCTCCACTCATGAGCCGTCCCATCCCTAGGTTTAAAAACAGATGCTATCCCAGGATGACTTAACCAAGCCACAATCACATCAACTCATCCAGGACTATTCTATGGACAGTGTTCAGAAATCTGTGGTTCAAATCACAGTTTTATACCAATTGTACTAGAAATAGTGCCACTAAAGCACTTTGAAAATTGATCCTCAACGATAGTCTAAGCATTATGAAGCTTTCAGCGCTAGCCTTTTAAGCTAGAGATAGGGAATACAAGCCCCCATAATGAGATGCCACAACTTGATACATCCACATGATCAACCGTAATCATAACATCCTTAGTAACCCTTTTTATTATTCTTCTATTCTTTTTCAAAACAAACAAAATTAAACAAAACACACAACCCATGAGACAAAAAATGAACGAGAATCTATTTGCCTCTTTCGCTACCCCTACACTAATAGGCCTTCCTATTGTAATCCCCATCATTATATTCCCAACCTTATTTTTTAAAACATCAAACAAATTAATCAATAACCGAGTAACAATTTTTTACTATGCCTAGCTAACCAGCTTAATATTGTTAGTACTGATTTTGTTAAATACATGTACTTTGAAAAAGAATAGAACTTCTCAAAATTCTCTTACCAGGGAAGTTCAGTCAGTCCTCCTTGTACAGCAATAGCAGACTTAACCCTGTTTGCAAAGTGAACTGCATCTTCTCCTTCCTGGTTAAATAAAAGAGTTACACATCCTGAGTATAAAATTTTAAATATTTTTAAATGTCTTAAAATCATTTTATTTCCTTTCTAATGCTAACTACAATAGGAAGAAATGACCCATTTGCAAAGAAAGTAGAAAAGCATGATGTTCGGAAGAACAGACATCTAGGTTTTTAGGCAAAGGTTTTCTTACTTTTATCTGATTAAATAAAGCACCAAACATGATATTATCTAAGGAATACCTCTATGGTCATGGGAGGCATGTACCACACATCACAGACGATGGCCCAGCTGGTCATTATTCGAAGCAAGTAGCTCACCATGTTGTATTTACTACTGTTCCAGAATGCATCACCAAACTGTGGGTTATACTGAGAAAAAAAGAAGGTACCCCAATCAAGCATTGCATGGTAACTCTCATCCATGTCAGCATTTGCAGGCAGTAGGATAAATAGCTCAATCAGACCCCAAGAGAAGTTACTTCACTTGACAGGCTCTTTCACAAAAACTAAACCAGCACCACTAATGCCGTCAATCAGCACCAAGCACTTTGCTAAACAGAGCCCAGATTGCTATAATAAGAGAATTGTTTACACAACTGCTAAATATTTGTCTCCACACTTAACTGGAAAGTTGGTGAAAGTAGGGATCATATCTGTTCGGCTACCACCATACCCTTAATACTTAATACAGCCTCTGTAACATAGATGCCTGCTACATATCGTCTATCTAACCATCATTCATCAATCTACCTATTTATCTGTCTGGAGAGAACAAACACAAATAAGATAAAATATAAAGAATCAGTGAATTGGAGGACACACAACTATCTGTAACTTAAGTTCTAGGAGATCCAGCACCCTCTTCTGGCCTCTGTGGGCACTGCATACAGGTGATACACTTACATACATTCAGGCAAAACACTCAAAAACATAAGAATAAATACATCCAAAAATTTTAATAAATAAAAATCTATTTTAACCTTACCTTCATTGCCACTGGATATATGGTTCCTCCGATTTCAAAGCTTCCTTTTTTAAACATCATGACTGAAGTATTGTTGATGCAGGTTCCTAGGAGTGGGAGGGTAGTAAGGAATTCAGTCTTTTTTTTTAACAAATTTTAAAAGGAATACCTTCATATAATTTAAAATATCAGGGTTACAGAGATCTTACTATCATTTCACAAGTCAATCTTCTCTTAAGAAGTAATTCAAAAATCTTCAGGCAATTTTAACACCAAGCTTTTATTTTACTGTTAAACCCTCTCTGGAGACAACTCCATCACACAGTTGAAAATTTCAACACATTTAAGGTGAAGGAGAGTGGCCCCTCAGACCCCCTCCCTATCCTCTGAGAAAAAGCTGCCGTCCACCTGACTCTGGAAATCCCCTTCATTGTTCAAACCCTTTCCTGGTGTCTGTTTATGATTTCTATGGAAATGGTCTGGGGCAGAAGAGAGAGAACGTTCTACCCCAGGTAAGCTAGCCAATGGCAGTATACCTGATACATCTGTGTATGGTTTCTATGGGAATAATCTGGGGCAGAAGAGAAAGAACGTTCTGCCCCAGATCAGATAGCCAATGGCTGTATAGGTAAAGTCTCTGGAAATCAACCCTAGATTGTTCCTCGAAATCAGCCCTAGATTGGTCCAATCCTTTCGTGGTTATTCTGTGTATAGTTTTTATGGACATCCCCTGCTTTGTGGTTTATGTGGTTTTTCTGCTTAAAAGCCCTGCGTTTTCACTGTTCAGTGTCACAGTACAGCCAGCTCCTGAGACTGTCTGTGTCCCCAACCAGTTGGCTCCAATAAAGCACTCCTTTTTACTGAGACTCAGTGTCCGAGTGGCCAATTTAGGGAATTTTACTGACCCCAAACAAAGGTATAACATCTGAAGACATAAACAACATTGTTTCATATAATTTCACAATAAAACGACTTTTAAAAATCAAAGAGGTACCCTGACTTCTACCTTTTCTCACCAGAAAGCAGGAAACTCAGAGCTTGGCAAAGCTATCTCATTCCTCTAAGGCAGCATGGAGCTGTACTAAGGCCAGTCCTAGAGCAACTGCATTCTTCACACACTGACAGTTTATTACTAGCAGCTGTGGCTTGGTAAGCAGTCTCTGTTCTTACCTTCAGGGAAGATTAATATGGGTAACTTTTTCTTATCAGCAATATGTTCTTTTAATCTGTAAGGAAAAATATGAATCATAAGATTATCTTTATCTTTTAATTTTTTTGTGGTATGAGTATTGTGCCTACATGTGTATACATACACCAAATGCAAAAAAATGCCCATGAAGGCCAGAAGAGGGAGTCAGACCCCCTAGAACTGGACTTAATGACATGACAGTTGTTAGCCACCATATGGGTTCTGGGAACTGAACCCAGTCCTCTGGAAGAACAGACAGTGCTCTTAACCACTAAGCCTTCTCTCTAGCCTCATAAATTGGTCTTGAAAAAGCAAGAGGTACAGCTGGGTGTGGTGTCGAATGCCTTTAATCCCAGCACTTGGGAGGCAGAGGCACTTGGATCTCTGTGAGCTCAAGGCCGCCCTGGTCTGCATGAGTTCACAGCCAGCTGGGGCTATAGGGAGAGCCTGTCCCAAAAAGACCAAAAAAAGGGGCAAGAGGTAAAAGTCCTTTTTGGTATTCTTCACACCCTGCTAGTTGAAATAAAGATTTAAGAAGAGAAAAAAAGGGAACAACTCAAGTAGCTCCCTTTCTTAGAGTATAAGGAGATCTGCACTGTTTCATTTTCTGAATTCAAATTAAAGTGAATGATTGTTAGTGTTTTCTGCCTACTGTTTGTTTCTATACTTGTTTGAGATGAGTTCTCCTTAGCTCATGCTGGGCTGGAACTTGCTGTGTAGCCAAGAATGACCTCAGACTCCTGACTTTCTGTTTCTACTTACCATGTAAGAGATTACAGGTATGCACCAAGCCCGGCCCTCCTACCCAGACTTTAAAAGGTTTTCTAAGCAGTCATGAGTCATGAGCTTTGTGCCTATCTCTGTTTATTTCTGTTTCCTCATGTGAAAAATGGAAATTTGAATCATGCTAGACCGACTCCAGAGATGAACCAGGCTGAACTTCACCAAGAAAAGCATAAGCCAGGTCTGGTAAACTCAGCACTCAAAAGATGAGGTCAGCGATCAGAAGTATAAGACCAGCCACTGGGCTATATAGTGAGTCCTTTTTAAAAAAAAAAAAAAAATCAGAGGGAGGAGGAGGAAAGGAAAGGGGAAGAGGAAGTAGAAAGGAAAAGACAAGGCTTTTCGTGAAGAGCATGGGCAGCCTTTGATGTATAAAAGCACGCAAGAGAGAGCCTTCAGTCAAAGGCCCCAGGGAAAAGCTGTTCCTCAGCTCTGTTCCTGGAAGGCTCCTCTCTACACAGCCTCAGAAGTTCCTTCCCTCCCTTTCCATAAAGATCTGCTGGAGTTTGGATAAGTGTTCTGCAAAGTCATGTGTTCAGACATGGTTTAGCTGTCACCCTCTGACACAGCTGAGGGGTGATGGAATCTTTAGGGGTTGGGGCCTTGGAGAAAGAAGTCAGTCACTGGGTACATACCCTTGAGGGTAATATTTGGACCCTGGCCCCTCAGCTCTCTTGTTTCCTGGCACCCATGAGGTAAATAAATTTCCTTTGCCACAAAATTTATTATATTGCTATGTGCCCAAGCATAAGGATCTGGGGACCATGGACTGACACCTCTGAAATCATGAGTCAAAATAAACCTTTTTCTTATTAGGTTGATCTCATCATGTGTTTTGTCATAGTGGTAGAAAGCTGCCAATGCAGCGATCAGCTCTTCTACTAGGTGGATTTCAGTGATAGTAATCATTCACAATCAAATATTTATTCAGTAGATAGCTATCAATTATTTAAGCCTCAAGGTGGTAATTTTAAACGTTAAAAGTTCAGCAGCTACCGGGTGGGGTGGTACACACCTTTAATCCTAACACTCAGGAGGCAGAGGAGGGTGGATCTGAGATTGAGGCTAACCTAGTCTACAGAAAGAGTTCCAGGCCAGCTGGGGCTACATGGAGACCCTGTCTCAAAAAAAAAAACCAGATTCAATAGTCATGGTGGTCCACAACTGTAATCCTAGCACCATGGTAGGTAGCTTTACCTAAGCACAGTAAGACAGACATTTGAACTTTCCAATCCATTCATATATCCCGTGATGACTACAGAATTGTTATTATTATAGTCTTGCTAATGCCTCACAGATGAATCCAGCTGCAAGTAGATCTATAATAAAGCTTTAGTCCCCCACCCCCGCCCCCCTTCTTTGGCCAAAAGACCCAAGTTGATGGGCTTTTGTGCTAATCCAGTGAATACTGTGTGAGTGCAGTTCACCTTTTAGTTACCAGGTGTCGATCCTTCATTTCCGAGCGTTCAAACCAAACATGTGGACAAGCTTTGACCATAGCTCTCTGAATAACTCCCATCAGTCCACCATGAACCTGGCCAACCTAAAGAGATCAGAAGAAACAGTAAAATATAGCGGCACCGCTACCCAAAGAAATCCAGGATTTTTCTTTTCTTGGGGAATGGAAAGGTGGCTATGTATCAATAAAGTCTATGAATTTTTATCCCCCTCAGAAATATGATTGGCTACCTTCTACTGACTGCTGAAATTCTAAATCTGATCAGAAGACTTAAAAAGCCAAATACAAACAAAAGCATTCTTTGGTGGCACCTATGAATTTTACATTATACTGCTACACTAGGAATCCCCTAGCTTTGAAAAGCAGAGATCTGGGGCTGGAGAGATGGCTCAGTGGTTAAAAGCACTTGCTGCTAAATCATGAGGACTAGACTTTGGACACCAGCACCCATGTAGGGTGGCTAACAAATTCTTTTTTTTTAATTTTATTTATTATTTTTATTTTATGTGTATGTGTGTATTGCCTGCATGTAGGTAAATGCACCCATGTCATGCAATGCCTGCAGAGGTCAGAAGAGGCCATCAGATCCCCTGGGACTGGAGTTATGGACAGTTGTTAGCTGCCATGTGGATGCTGGGATTTGAATCCAGGGCTTCTGCAAGAACAACTAGTGTTCTTAACCGCTGAGCCATCTCTCCAGCCCCAGCTCACAAATTCTTGTAAATCCAGTTCCAAGGAATCTGATGCCCTCTTCTGGACTTCACCAGTACCCAAACACATGTTCACATACATTCACACAAATAGAAACCATGTACATACATACACATAAATAAAATAAAATTAAAGAAAAATTTAAAGCCTAACGGAAACAAACACTCTCACACCTTGACTGTGGGGTAAAGGAGTAAGGGGAGTGGGCACCATCTGTCAAGATTACATATTCATTTATCCTTCATTTCAATAATTCCTCTTCCAGCCATGTACCCCCAAAATATACCTTCAGCAAAATGAAAATGCCTATGTACAAGATTACTGGCTACACTTATTACAAATATTCAAAACTGCCTAAATGTCTAAATATAGGAAACTGGATAAAGAATGGTTCATATAACACAATGGAGCACTATGCCACTGAACAAAGGACAAGGTTGATCTCTGTGACAGATAAGTGATTTCCAGGAGACGGTAAATGACAAATGCAACAGAACAAATAAGCATCTAAAAAGGAAATAAAATATAAGCATTTTTTATCCCTATGAGAATAAGAAAGGATAGCCAAACAATAAAGATGAGAACCTACGCAGTAGGAAAGAATGGAGGAGAGTGGACATGGAAGAGTGACACTTTTTTTCTTTTTCACTTCATTTTGACATTTAGAAATATGTTACTATCCCTATGTTAACCAACAAAGATATGGGAAGAAACTGAAATTGGTCAGAAGCAAATGAGCCTAATTGTGTCTCAAATCAATAAAAGAGCAAGGCTAAATGAAATGGAAAACTCTGAGACACCATAAAAAAATTGAATTTGCCCACAACACTCCATCTTGGATGGACTGATAGATTATCAAGAACTGTAGAGCAGCCTGAAATTTTTTTAATTACATCCGGGTTTTTGGTGTTAAACATGTGAAGCAATTCACTTATGTACTAAACAGGAGAATACAATTTTAGATGTATTTATAGGACTGAGAAAATGAGTAAATATTTATGTTGTTGGGAAGCAGGTTTTTTGTGAAGAAAGGAAGATAGAAATATTTGTTGGTGAAAAGTAAGAAAGACCCATATATAAACTGTGTTCAAAAATAAAATAAAATAAGGGGTTGAAAAGGTGGCTCAACAGTTAAGAGAACTGCTCTTGCAGAGGACCCAGGTTCAATTCTCAGCACCCATATGGTGGCTAACAACTGTCTATAACTCCAGTTCCAGGGGACTCAATGTTCTGACTTCCTTGGGCATTGCACAACATGGGTGCACTTACAGACATGCAGGCAATACACTCATACACATAAAATAATAATAATAATAATAAATAAAATATTTTTAAAAATTAAGTAGAAATAGAAATAAAAATAAAAGGACAGCATGATGGCACATGCCTTTAATTCCAGAACTCAGGAAGCAGAGGCAGGTGGATCTCTGTGAATTCAAGTCCAGCCTGGTCTATATAGAAAGTTCCAGACCAGCCAGGGATATGCAGTAAGTTCCTATGTCCCCCACCTTCAAAAAACAAGTCAGTGAAATAATGTTATTTGATTTGATTTAGCCATCTTGAAATGTGTTTACATCTGTCAGACATTATGCTGTGTACCATAAATATATAAAGCTTTTATTTGGCAAATAAAAATAAATTCATTTTTTAAAAAGGCACTGGGTGGGGGGGGTAGAGAGATGGCTTAATGGTTAAGAGTACTGGCTGCTCTTGCAGAAAACCTGGGTTTGATTCCCAGCACCCACATGATGGCTAACGAATGTTTAGGTAAACTCCAGTTCCAGGGGATCTGATGCACTCTTCTGAACTCCAGGGGCACTGCACTACATGGATGCACCTACCTACAATGTAGGCAATACACTGATACATACAATAATATAATATAAAATAATAATAAATCATTTTTTTATCACTGGAGCTAGGCATGGTAGCACACACCTTTAATCCCAGCATTTGAGGGACAGAAGCAGATGGATCTCTACATATTGAATTCCAGGCCAGCTAGGGCTATAAGACCCTCCCTCAAAAATAAAACAAAATTTAAGGGGCTGGAGAGATGGCCAGCAGTTAAGAACACTGTTCTTGCAGAAGAACCAGGTTCAAATCCCAGCATCCACATGGCAGTTAACAACTGTCTGTAACTCCAGTTCCAGGGGATCCAACTGCCTCTTCTGTTCTCCACAGGCATTGCATGACACAGGTGCATTTACCAACATGCAGGCAATACACACATACACATAAAATAAAAATACCAAAATATATATTTTTTAATTTTTAAAATTAAAAATAATTAAGAAGTCATTGGGAGACCTTTAACATTTTTCAAATATGTAGCTCATGTTTTCTACTAGTGGTAACTGGTTTTAGGTTTCTGTCAATGAAATAGACATTTTGCAGTTAGTATGATTTATAAACTTTGGCTAACAGTATAACTGCAGTTAGATGTGATCAAATACAGGCAAGAAGACAACAAAATTCTAAGGCCTTCATTCATAAATGAATTATAATCAATTCTTTGTTGACCAGGGCACAGAAAAAATAGGCTATGGTCTCAGAAGCACAATACCACGATTAAACAGTTGCTGTGGCTTGAACACATCCCTCAGAATTCATACACTGGAAACTCAGTCCCCAGTGCAATATTGAAAAAGGGACCCTCAGGATGGACAGAGACAGGCAAATGGATTGCCAGGGTCTCTGCTTCTCCACTTAGGATAAAATCTCAGGCCAAATTTCACTGGATTACAGAGAAGCTCAGACACAGTGGATGAAAAGAAAGTGCTTGTCCACATACATAAAAGGCATATGATATATATATGTCCAGACCTATGCCAGGGCACCACTGAGGGCTGCCAACATAAAAGTCCTTAGGTGGGCTTTAAGGATGCCTAAACACTGAAATTACACACAAAATGATGTATGTAGGATGTACATGTACATAGGATGCATGGGTACATTGTTTTCTGGTTATTTTTTTTATTTCTCAAAGTATATAATGATCTATTGGTTCCCAACCTACAAAAAGATTTTTTAAATATCAATTCCTAGGGCTGGAGAGATGGCTCAGTGGCATGCCTTTAATCCCAGCACTCAGGAGGCAGAGGCAGGCGGATCTCTGTGAGTTCAAGGCCAGCCTGGTCTACATAGTGAGTTCCAGGACAGCTGGGGCTACAGGGAGACCCTATCTCAAAAAGACCAAAAAACAAAAAAAAAAAAAAATCAATTCCTACGACTGGAGAGATGGCTCAGTGGTTTAGAACACTGGCTGTTTTTGCAGAAGACCCAGGTTCAAATCCCAGCACCCACATGGCAGCTAACAGCTGTCTGTAACTCCAGTTTTAGGGATCCGGCACCCTCTTCTGTCCACCATGGGTTTTGCAGAAGACCCAGGTTCTAATCCCAGCACCCACATGGCAGCTAACAGCTGTCTGTAACTCCAGTTTCAGGGAATCCAACCTCCTCTTCTGTCCACAGTGTGCAATACACAACATGGGTGTACTTACATGCATGCAGGCAATACACGCATACACACAAAATAAAAATATTAAATATGTATCAATTCCTATATGTCTTCTCATAAAGATGCCAAAAGCTTCCTCAAAAAAGAAGATTCAAAAAAAGCTGTTAATTGACATAAATTTAATAATGTATTAAAATTTACTTTCCCAAGAGTAATAGATCTGAATTTATATTTTATTTTAGTTATTTATTTATTTTGTTGGTGGCAGGGTGTGTGTGTGTGTGTGTGTGTGTGTGTGTGTGTATGTATCAGGATCTCACTACCATAGCCCTGACTTAGCCTGGAACTTGCTATGCAACCCAGGCTGACCTCAAACTTGCAGCTATCCCCCTGCCTCTCCCTCCTGAGTGCTGTGATTGCAAGAATACACCACTATGCCCAGCTTGAATTTATATCTTAGACAATTGTTTTGTTTTGTTTTGTTTTTTTGACAATGCTGGGGAAAGAACCCAGGGCTTTGAACATGCTAGGCAAATGTTCTACCACTGGGCCATATCCCCAGCCACTGAATTTAAAGTTTTGGACAAATTCAGCACATAACACATAAACACAAACTAAGTAGGAATTTTTCAAAGGTCTGCAAAACTCTTACTGAGCATACAACTCATGGATGGTGAAACACTAGCACAGCATTCCCATTCACCTACTTGCAGCACAATCAGTGAGGGCTCCCTTCAAAGGCTGTTTCAAATAAATACTATCAATACTATACTATCTGTGAACAAAACCCATCTGCTTGCTGTCCTCACAGCCCAACCCAAAACCATGAGAATATGAAAAAATCCTGGAACACTTATCCAGTCATCCTGTTCCACACACTACCTTGAGACATATTTAACCAGCGGGCAGAAAAGGACAACTTGAGTTATCATCTGGAATTGACACAATATAGAGGAGATGCAAGAAATCTTGACAAATTTGTAATAGAAAACAAAAGATTTGGAAAAAAAAAAAAATCAGGGGGCCGGAGAGATGATGGCTCAGTGGTTAAGAGCACTGACTGCAGCCAGGCGTGGTGGCACACGCCTGTAGTCCCAGCACTTGGGAGGCAGAGGCAGGCAGAGGCAGGCAGATCTCTGAGAGTTCAAGGCCAGCCTGGTCTACATAATGAGTTCCAGGACAGCTGGGGCTACAAGGAGACCCTGCTTCAAAAAGACAAAGAAAAAAAAAAAAAAGTACTGGCTGCTCTTCCAGAAGACCTGGTTTGATTTCCAGCATCCACATGGTGGCTAGCAACTGTCTGTAACTCCAGTTCCAGGGGATCCAACATCTTCTTCTAACCTCTGTGGGCATTGCATGCCACAGGTACAGGGTACACTTACACACATGCAGTCAATACATTCATGAACATAAAAAATAAAAAAAAAAATTTAAAAAGATGGTAGAATGTGGTTTTTGCTCCCGCCCATGAAAAAGTATTTTAGGGTTTGGTTTTACTGTGGGTTTTGTGGTTTACTGTTAGCTTGTTCTTTCTTCCTTTCCTTTCTTGGGAAGCTGTGGACAAGATCTGAGAAGTAGGCTATGGTATAAACATTTGTCTTCCTTGCTAGATCCTCATTAAAGAAACAGATTTTTTTAATTGCACTTATCCCTGAAAGGAGAACTAATAGGCTAGATAGGGATTTGTACAACTCTAAAGAGGATGACTTTAATTTGGTACAGTATAATTAAACCATGGCACAGACTTTAAAAGCAAAATAAAATCAACTTTCTAATGTCCTACGAAGCTCAGGCACTTCTGAATTTTAGTTGTTTACTATCAGTCATTTTCTTTCTTTTTCTTGCACTATTTGCTCCTCACATAAACATACTACATAGCCTATACAAACACAGAACTACGACCTAGCCAAAGGTGTAATATGACGCTAACTTTCTAATTTGCCAATAAAATGACAGCAATCCTTCAGACACACATATTAGAAATATCACTGAGCTGCCCTTACCATGGCATAGCATCCATCCGTGGTCAAGATCAGCACATCAATGGGAGAGGTATGATTGGCGACACAAATGCCCCCTTTCTGGGGTCTGTATTGCCTGTGGTCACAAACAAGTGTAAGTACCAAACCTCACACCGCTATTTTGAAGAACAAGACTCATTTTATTTTTAAAATGTACCTTTTAAAGTTTGTAGGACATAGGTCCATCTTTAACACATTGTCTCCATGCTATGATATGAGGGGTGGGTGGCTATGACTTTCTAATTCACAAATTTAATCATAACTTTCAGTATTTTGCTGATTGTCCTAAGTATGACATCTAATGTCTTGGTGGCAATCTACAGTAAATTTACCACAGCTTCTTCCTTATCTTTCTTGAGCAGAGGTCAGAGGCAAACTTTTTCTACCACATTTTTTAAGCTTCACCAGCCACACAATATCCATTACAATTAATTAATTCAACTGGCCTTGCAACTGAGGCGGCCACAGACAGTATGGACATGAATGAGCAAGACCATGTTCCAAAAAGTTTATTTACAATAAGACTGATGGGAGGCCAAATTTGGCCAACAAGACCATCTCTGTCCCATCTCTGCCCCAAAGATAAACTAGCACTTGACATCAACAAAGCAAAGAACTTGTGCTTGGGCCTCTATAGAGAATGACTTCTTAAAATGAGAAGCATTTCTAACAAGCAGTGAGCACCTGTGTTACAAAAGCACCTCTTCTAGAGTGGGTATCTCCTGTGATCACACTTCTGACAGCATCCTTTGTCCAGTCTGTGTTGCAAAACTCAGTTGCATCACAAAATCATAGAATTTAGTTTTCTCTTTCTCTCCCACAGTTGAGATAGGATCTCTGTAGAGAGATCTCTGGCCTCACACTGGCTATGTAGCTGAGGCTGGCCTCTGATCGTCTTGCCTCAGCCTCCCAGATGCTAAGAGAACAGGTGTGAACCATCACACCCAACCAACTCCTAAACATTTAAGGAGGATTTTCTGTTGGTAGCACCTGGTAAAACAAAGTGATAAGAAGTCTTCCTTCTATAAACGAGACAGACTCAAAGGGGCGGGGGAGGGGGAGCTTACTCTAGAACTCATAATTATGATGTTCTCAGGCATGGTGGCATATGTCTGTAATCCCAAAACTTAGGAAGCCACGGCAAGAAGCCTGGCAGAAGTTCAAGGGCAGCTGTGCTACAAGTTCCAGACTAGCCATGACTTGTCTCAAACAGAAAATACTAATATTGTTCTTTAAAATAACGTTGAATTCACATAAAAGTAATTCAAAAGCAAAGACAATATTTTCATTTAGCTAATGACTTTCCCTAGCTACCTGTATTCTCTGATTGGGGTAAGGGGAACAGAATGCAGTATTTTGTTTTAAGGACGAGGTACAGCATTTTAGAAAAGGCAAGGCTAAGAGTAGAAAACAGGCCTCAGCCTCCACCATACCACCCACCAGCCTGCCAGCTTCATGATTTTCAAAACAGTCCCAGCTCAAAACCTGACTTTAAACCTGTATAACCCTTAACCTCCACTTCATCTGTAGGATCAGTGCCCACCCCCTATAAATAGCCCAAGGAAACTCATCTGCACACCATAAATGCCCAACTGTGAAGCACTGATAAGTTTGTTTCAATATCCCTGCGCAAACATGCTTTGTTGTCTGTGACATCTGAAGAAGCACTGAACACGCCAAAGCCTGCGGACCCCACCTGCCACCTCCAGTCCTTCCTACACCTGTTGCTCCCTGCTGGATCTACCTCCAGCAGGGTGGGCAGGGACGCCCAGACACTCACTTGTTATGATAATGAATGGTGCCAGAGAGGGACCGCACACAGATGCGACAGCAAGTCAGATGAACCAGCTCACTAAGCCAGTTTTTGAGGCTGAATGAAAAAGAAACCATTTTATTCTTTGGTTCTGGGTACTTCTAAGAAACAACACAATAAAAGCTTTAATGCACTGTTCACAGCAGCATCCTGTGTTCTGTTGAACTGAATAAGCACAGTTCTATTCTTACAGTTTTGATGATGCATTTGGTAGTAAAGGTTCAACTTAGCAGGAGAATTAGTCAAAGCTAGAATTGGAAAGTTACTCCCACCCCACTTGATTATGAAAAAGTCCTAATCAAGATCAGCTGAAGGTCTCTGGTCTCGGCCTCCTGAACCTGACAGTAACACTCTCATTGCTTCTTTGGGTCCCTCAGTCCAGTTTCTTTGTTCCTTTCATTTCTCCTTTGAAAAAGCAACTTTCCATTTGTATGAAAGTATGATGAAAAGTGAGAATTCTAGGAAGAAGGCTGAGACCATAAAATTAATGCGATACCTAGGGAACTAACTATTGCTTTGTAGACACAGCTAGGGGAAAAAGGACAGTCCTATTATGACTGGAGGAAAGGAAACACTTCACCTGCTGTCCGGCAGCTGCCCCACCAATGTTGTGCCTATAATCAGCAAACTGATCCCAATGAAGGCCAGGGTAACCCTGAAAAAGAAAAGAAAAGCCACTGCAAACATCTGCTGAAGAGAGGGAAATGGCCTGAAGTATAGTTACTCAAAGGGTCATAAATAAGGGAAATGTAAGTTGTAGAGCATCCACATTATGGAACTTGATGCAGTTATTAAACTATTTGGTGATTCTATAGATTCTGATGTAATTCTTTACAATGTTTTGGTGCATTTGAGAGAAAAAAGTCAAATTTCAAAATAATTTTGTAAATAGATACAAGTTTGAAAGCCACAAATAAGCACATACGTGTAACTGCTCTATAGATGCACAGTGGTAGCCTGGAATTTGTTCAAACTGTCAAGCACAATCTAAGTGGTCATCAAAGGGTTAAGAGCACTAGTGAAGGGAATACATTGAAAGGCCCTTTCATAAGAACAAGAATCTCGCCATATAGGGGTCCTTTAATGCAAAACTAACATTTGTTTTGTCCCTTAGTATGGTTAAAAATAACTCAAACCTCTAATCTCTTTACACATTTCTTCTTTCTTTTTATTTTTTGGAGACAGACTCAAGTATCTGAGGCTGCCCTCAAATCCCTATATAGCCGAGGCTGGTCTTGAAGTCCTGATCCTCCTGCCTCCATCTCTATAGTGCTGAAGTTGTAGCTGTGCACCTCCACAGGCCAATTTGTTTTGATGCTGTGCCTGGGATCAAACCCTGGACCTCCCGAAAACGATCTACAGCTGAGCTACATCCCCAACCTTTGATCCTAGCACTCAGGAGACAGACAGATCTCTGTGAATCCAAGGCCAGCCTGGCCTGCATATTGAGTTCTAGGCTAGCTGGTATCACAGGGAGACCCTGTCTCAAAAAGACCAAAAAAAAAAAAAGAAAAAAAAAGTCCTTTTAATATACATGCTAGACCAGAGACATGGCTCAGAGGATAAAGGCACTTGCCACCAAGTCTGACACCTGAGCTCAATCTCCAGAACCCACACAGTGAAAACAGAAACAAAGTCCTACAGGTTGTCTTCTGACTTCCACTTACATGCTGTGGCATATGCACCCCCCACACACACACACATATACACATGAAGTAAATAAATGTAATTTATACACGCACATACACACTCCAATCGCTTTACAAGGGAAACTGTCATTTCTAGAAATGTACATAGAACTACTCAAAAAGAAAAGATTGAAGTTTTACATCTTTCTAAATAAGTAGGATTTAGATAAAAGGAAGGCAAAGATCAACAGCTTAATCATACTAATAAGATTCTTTGCTGTCTGTTTTTTTTTTTTTTTTTTTTTGGATTTTTTGTTTTTGTTTTTTGAGACAGAGTCTCCCTGTAGCCCTAGCTGGCCTGGAACTCACTATGTAGACTAGGCTGGCCTTGAACTCACAGAGATCCACCTGCTTCTGCCTCCCAAGTGCTGAGACTAAAGGTTTGCGCTACCACACCCAGCCTAGTAAGATTCTTTAAAACGTTTTACTTTGTCAAAGGAAAAAGCAGAGACTTGAGATTATCTCATTGCCCTCCCTCATTCTTCTGTCTTGTTCTCAACATAACTGTGCCATGCTTTGCTGAATGTTTGTGGGTCTATCAGCAACCTAACTACAAAGAGCCACCAGCACAGAGTCCTCAGGACTCTATTGGTCTGCAAAAGTCATAGTAGTTGCCAGGTAAGGGTAAAGAACAATAACCCTCTGCATGGACAAGCCTACCTACACTTTCTATGTATCTGTCTTTACTCTCTGGCTAGATATTGAAAGCACAAAATTGTTACCCCATCTTAGGTTTTACCATTGCCTGCCAGGCATAAATAGTCTAGGTACTTTCTATAGTTAGTGCATTTAATCATCTCCAAAACTGTATGAGGATATTACCAATATCCCCTGTTCCACAGATGAAAATTATATAATTTTCCCAGAGGATAAAGAGTCAATAAACAGCAGAGCTTTTTTGTCCAAAAATGTATTATAGGATAGTCTGTAGAATCATACAACTATAGGTTTACCAAAACTTTCACATTGTAGACTGCATAGTGAGAGTAAGGTTGACGGGGCTGGAGAGATGGATCAGCAGTTAAGAAAACTTGCTGCTCTTACGGAGGACCCTGGGTCAGTTCCCAGCACCCACATGGCAGCTCACAACCATCTATAACTCCAGTTCCAGGGGATCCCATGCCCTCTGGCCTCTTTGGGAACCAAGCATATACATGGCAGACATATATACATAAAGCACAAATAAAATTGAAATAAATAATTTTTTAAAGGATTGATCATTTTTCCATTTTATTTTTGTTCTTGAATACTTCTCAGATTATCTTAAATCTATTTTTTCTTTTTTGTTATATTATTTATTTATTTATTTATTTATTTTGTAAACATGCATGTGTTATGTATGTGTGTGACTATGTGCCAGTGGAGGTCAGAAGACACTTTTGAGAGTCAGTTCTCTCCTTTCATCATGTGGGTCCTGGGGACTGAGTTCAAGTCATCCATCTTGGAATAGGCACCTTATCTGCTGAGCCATCTCTCCAGCCCCTAATCTGTTTTTTCTTTTCCAAAACATTTTATGACACATAGATATTTATGCGTGTTAGTTCAGTTGAAACTAAATAACTGAATTGTGATGCTATTTTTTAGGCTCACACAACAGGGTAAAAGCTAACCAACTAATGAGTGCATTTCAAGTTCTTATAGAGATTCTCACTTCTCTTTCAGATTACCTTGGATATACTGCCTGATGAATGGAACAGATGAGGACACAATAGATAATTCATATGTGAAGTCTTATAATTATCTGGGATAGCATAGATGTAGCTCAATGGTAGAGCATTTGCCTAGAATACATGAGACATGAGGCCCTGGATTTAATCCTCAGCACCATAAAAAAAAAAAGAATAATCTAAGAGCTCTGATCAGGATCAGGAGTTCAAGACTATGCTCAGCTACATAGCAATTTGTTCAAGGCCATCCTGGGCTACATGAGACCTTTTATATGGTGGGAGTGGGCATGGATTTGATCAAAACACCTTATATGCATGTATGAAATTCTCAATAAATTTTTATTTAAAAAAAAACCAAATCCCAAGAAAAAATAATAATAAGTGGAAAAAGCCGGACATGGTGGTTTTTGCCTTTAATCCCAGCACTCGGGAGGCAGATCTCCGTGAGTTCAAGGCCAGCCTGGTTGACATAGTGAGTTCTAGGACAGCTGGGGCTACAGGGAGACCATCTCTAAAAGACAA